GAAGTGTTATTTATTTTGTCAATTGCTCATTTCCGGACCTTCTGCGAGAGGAGGCACCGCTCCTTTCTGCTACAGGAAAGGTTGGGGAAGAAGTGGCTGCATCCAAGCTCATCGAAACTACGATCAGGTCGAGCCCCATAACAGCGTCATCAGTAACCCCATTCGTCCGGGATGAAGATCAAGCGGAAGTTTTGTATAAGATGCCTAGTAAGCATTTGCTAAGATTGAAAGAGAATGGAGAGCAGAAACGGAAGTGGCCCCTGTCCAGTGCATGCGGCCTGAGACTATATCGCACGGCTGATAGAAGATCTATGGGCTTTACGGTGACAACCCGGTATCAAAAGGCCAATTGGAAATCCCTGGCTCAGTTGAGGCGATGGCATGAAAAAGGGATGGAAATACGGCAGCTTGGATATTGAAGCTTGTAGCCGCAAATCACACGAGAGAGACTAGCTTTGACAATGAGTCTAAGCCCTGGTGACCCTCGTTAATTACGAAGACGGATCAGTCAGCTGTTGTTGTTGTTGTTGTCGTCAGTTCTCGGAGCGAAAAATTCATCCCACCGTTTGTGTGTAATCAGCCAGGAAAGAAGCAGCAAATCGTTTGGTCGACATTTAGACAGTACAGATATCATGACGTTGTGTATGGCCATGACGTACCGGGCACAACGCATGGCTCTTCTGTCTGATGCCCATGTCCTACGATTACAATTCGCCTAGGCCCTCTTGATAATTGAGTAAAAATCAGCATAAAGTGAAAACTGTTCCAGTTCTAGGATCTAAACGGAGCCCATCAAAGAACCTTGTAAGGGTGCTTTTATTATTTAACATGCAGGATCAAACGAGCCGCTCCTGTGTACGAGCTAGCGATGGCTAGGTAGAGAAGTTGCACTTTTGTCACTCATTTATCGAAATCACAATCTGATGAATGATATCAGGAAGCAGAAAGAAACTAACCACATCGCACTGCGTCAGTCATCAATATTTTGAGTACCTTGCGCAGTAACTTGCCAAAGTTTCACACTCATCTAGTAACTTTCTCGAATCTAATGACTAATGAAATCTGTTGTGATGCAGTGCTACATGTTTTTTTACAAAAGGAACGTGATGTTTAAGATTCTTATAGAAGTAAGACGAAATATACGAAACATTTACATTTAAGAAGTGAGTGTCCCGGCTTGAGTGATCTTCACAGATATAAATTTGATTAGAACGTAGAAAGAACATTTTCAGCAGCTCTTCACAACTGCACTCCAGATTCGTTCATTCTGACCGTTAATTTGCTGCCAACAAAGGCACCTGCAGAACTGCAAATCCAAACACTTACTACGCATCAAGTTGAAACGGACCCATGAGGCGCATCGAGTTCCTCTGTAGTTACTTAATTTCTGAAGTTCCGTTGTAATGAATGGTAGAAAAACTCAATATCCCGTTTCATTAAATGCCAACC